TGTTCTGCTAAAGTACTCACCTCGCGAAAACAGAGTCTTAGAGTAAATTCCGTCCCTTCTCTCATGGGCATGACAAACCCTTGGAACCACCCTTCTGGTACTGTTTGACACGCATTGAGCGCGTTAAATAACCAAGACGTTTTATACTCTGTATTTGCATATTTCACAGTGACTGAAGGAAACATATACTCTTTCTTTTGCATTAAATCTTCAAAGTTCACAATTTTCTCTATATAGACCTCAACAGGGAATTCAGTCTCAGTCATTTTGTCGTTGATGAGAGGAATGAGTGATGTCTCCACATGATTATAGACGGAGCGCATGCACTCGAGTTTGATGTCAAAACAAGTCCCATTCTTGGAGCTCAAACTGACATACTCGACTTCTCCAAAGTGGAAGTCGGGGACTGGGTACAACGCAGAACACATCAGAACGTTTTTATTTGTTTCACCACCATCGGAAAAGTAGACTGAAAAGACTATAAAGTCGCATGGAAAAACATCAACAAAAAGCGCCTTTTGCTGATAAGTAAATTTACTTGGAGGGATATAATAATCACTCCGAACCATCTTTGTGATGCGCGTGAACATACTCGAATTCATTGTTTTGGCTTCCAGTCTTAAGGTTTGATCACCATTGAGTGCCAAATTGTCAAAGAGGATATTACAGCCGTACTTCTCCTCATATGCCCTGGCAAATGAAGATACCGACTTGACTGTGATTTTTAATAGCGAAGAATTTGAAAGTGGCACAACAGAAAGTTTTGGTGGTGGAATGCCGTTTTTAACACATTTAAGTGATATACACAAAAGTCCATTTGGTGTGACAGGAAGAGCGAAAAAAGTCGGTTCTTTCATAAAAAGACTTGGAAATTGAAATTTGGAAACCCCTATTAAAATGTTTGTGTCCAACATTTTGTAAGAAAACACGTTGAAAGTAATTTTTTCGTTTATTAAAACATCGAGTGTGAAGGTCTTGTTGTAATAAGGGTCTGTTGTGTTCATATTAGCAGCAGTCTTATATTCCTTATTATGGAAAGTAAATTGAATGAATGGATTCACAAACGGCTTTATATTGTCATCCAAATCATGACAACATATTAATGTTAATTCAACCTTCATTTGAGTCATTCTTATTAATAAAAATTGTTTAATTACATTTAAAGTTAAAATGCTTTTAAAAAATTTACTTCAAATTTTGGATTCTTAAATTTGGAAATTTTTTAATAAAGAGGAATTGGTGAATAATAAAAAAAAGAGAAATTGTAATTTTTTTCAAATTACAAAAAATAAATTATTTTTTTATATTTTAAATTTTTTAATTTTTTTTAATTTGAATTCCACTTTTATTATAGTATTTTTAATATAATTATGGTTTTTATTATTTATTATAACAAATAATTCATATTTTATTATATTTATTACCAAATTATTTCAAATGAATCACAACAAATTAATAATAATTGATATAAATATTAAATTATTTTTTATTAATAACAAGAATAAGAAGTCGTAACGATAGAGTCAATTATAACTAATTTGGTGCTTATTAGTCTCGTCTCAATTTGTTGTCTTCGTGCTCCTTGACCGCAATGACAACACCAGTTGTCACCGCCGCTGCTCCGGCAACAGCAGCTACACCGGCTCCAACGGCAAGCACTGGAAGTAAGACTGGACCGGCTACAACTGCTGCGCCCGCTTGGAGAATCGCATAAAGTGCTGCAAAGACTACAACCATGTCAACTGTGTGTCTTTGTAGTTTGGTGCTCAGTTTATAAAGCAGGTGATAACGCGTCTGATGATGACTTTGTGATACACTTTGTGTCAAGAAGCCGACTTTCATTACTTACTTTTTGTATTAAAATGTATTATTAATATAACTTTTGTTTTCTTGATAATTTTTTAATATATATATTAGTAAATAAACTATGTAATTCAAGTTGTTTGATATAATGAAGACTTATTTCAAAATAACGCAAAATTGATAGAGTTAATAATAACAATAATATCACATTTTGATAGAAATAGAAAGATATTTTGATATGAGAAATTTACTTACCAAGGCATAATAACAAATTGAATAGAATTGTTATAATAAATAGAATTAAACTATACAGTCTTATTTGGTTGTTTTTGTCTTGTAAATAATTAAATTTTTCTGTTTTTTTCAATTTTTATCGATTTTAAATATATTTAATCCTAAAAATGCAATAATTATCTAGTAAAATAAAGGAATTTCTCTTCTAATTAACGAAAATTGTCTTCTTATTTTTGAAAATTATCCAAATTATAATAAATTATCCCAATTTAATTCAATTATTTCCAATTAATTGTAATTATCTAGACATAAAAGATAATTATCTTATATTATTAAATTTTATCAACAATAATATATAAAATTATCTTTATTAAAATGTAATTATCCACATTTTATTTAAATCAAAAATAAAAACAAAGCATTCTTTTTTAAAAAAACAACTATTTATTAAAAACAAAATGAGTAACTCAGCTATGGTTTACATAGACGCAAGAGAACCTGTTGTTAGAGAACAATTTATAGGTAGCGCACCAGAACCACTTCCTGGTAATTCTCCAACAAGTACGATTTCGGTTCCGTTTATTGTACCAATGCCGCCCCCAAAAAAAAACGAGGAAGACCAAAAATTATTAGAGAGGGACCCACTCCATTGTCAACGAGTATTACCAAACCTAGAAAACCGTATACCAGAATTATATTAGAGGCGAAAAAAAAGCTTATCACATTTTGGAGAAAAAATGGAGACGAATGGCAACTAGGCGAATATGCCTCCAAAAACACTTGAATCTTTACTGGAAAAACTTAGTAATGCGTTCACTTCAATTGAAACCTCGGAGGTTGTAGCCTCATTGGAGCGTTGCAGAAATACAATGTGGCAGAAAGTTTTTAGTCGAGATAATTTATAAGTTGGTTTCTTTTTGATATTTCCAATGATGTTTTTTTTGAAAATATCCTGTCAACCCAAATAATCAATTTTTAAATCATAAAAATGTTATCGATAAACATTTTTGTTGTTTTTATTTTTGATTTAAATAAAATGTGGATAATTACATTTTAATAAAGATAATTTTATATATTATTGTTGATAAAATTTAATAATATAAGATAATTATCTTTTATGTCTAGATAATTACAATTAATTGGAAATAATTGAATTAAATTGGGATAATTTATTATAATTTGGATAATTTTCAAAAATAAGAAGACAATTTTCGTTAATTAGAAGAGAAATTCCTTTATTTTACTAGATAATTATTGCATTTTTAGGATTAAATATATTTAAAATCGATAAAAATTGAAAAAAAACAGAAAAATTTAATTATTTACAAGACAAAAACAACCAAATAAGACTGTATTTTGAATTGAAATTGGAAACAATGTTTCTTCAAAATAAGTAATACATTCACAACATGTAAACAACACACTTATGAAATCAAAACAAGATGTGTAGAGACAATAAGATAAACCAAGAAGTGATAAAATATGAAGTAGATGAAGTGATGGATTATTTGTTGTTGTGAGCTGTGAGCATAGCGAGTGTGTCCAATCTGACGACAGTTGTGTAATTTGTGTTGTAGTATGAGTCGTCGAATGGTTTTGTGTCTTTGTGGATGACAACACGAGTGAGATGTTGACAGCCGACAAAGCACTTATCGGCCAGGTAGATAGCTTTGTGAGGGAGTGTGACGTCACACAGTGCCTTGCAGTTGAAGAAACACGATGCCCAAATAGCATTGACACTTTGTGGCACGACAATGTGTTGAAGTGATATGCACTCGTTGAAAGTTTCTTGTTTGAGTTCGGTGATGAGTGATGGCAGTGTGACTGCACTCAACGTGTCGCAACACGAGAAGCACTTTCTGCCAAGAGAGGTGACTGTTTGTGGCAAATTTGCGCATTTCAGCTGTTTGCAGTTGCTGAACGCAGAGTCGCCGATTTTGACGAGTCTGCACATCTTCTCGAATGTGACTGCTTGCAAACTCACACACGACTCAAAGCAGTGGTCTTCAATTGTGCTGAAATTGCCACACAACTCGATTGATGTCAGCAGACTGCACCGCTCAAATGTCGATGCTTTGAGAGACTGCTGCTCTGCCAACTTGCACAACACACTCAACTTCTCACACCCACAAAAGCACTCCTTTTCAACACGCGTCAAGACAGCAACACGCACATCTGACAAACTTCTGCAGTTGTAGAAACACTTCTCACCCAACGCAACAACTCCACTGATGTCGATGGCACACAGTGAAACACAATTTGCAAAAGTTGACCCATTCAAGAACGAAACTGCACTTGGAAGTGATATGCGTGTGATGCGACTGCAACTGTCAAACGCATTTGCATCAATTGATGTCACCAGTGGTGGGATGTTGATCTCTTCAAGTCTCACACAATTCTGAAAACAACTTGTTGAAATGTCACACAACGCATTTGGAAGAGAAATTGCACTCAAATTGGAACATCCACTAAACACGTGTTGATCAAGTGATGTCACTTTCAAAGGAACAACAACACTCCGCAATGTCGTGTTGTTCTCAAAACAGTGTGACTTCACAGCTCTCACCACATCTGGTATTGTCTCATCACAAATGACAACATCATCCTTCTCCAACACCACATTGTGATATTCGTATTTTGCATCTTCATCGCAATTTCTTCTGTACGTTGTGTAATCGACTTCATAATACACACGTATCTTGCTGAAATCCACTTTGCTTGTCTCTCTCTTGTATTCTTGTGGAAAGAAGATCTTCTTGAGACTGAACACCTCCTTCTTTTGTGCACAATCAGCAATGCCATCGCGTGGTGCGAATGGGCTGTTGCCAAAGTGCTCATCGTAAGTGTTCCATATGTTGAGTGTGGTGAGTGCTGGAAATGCCTTGAGTGTCTTTCTGTCAATTGGAAATGGGTTGCTTTCAATTTCAGTCATCACGTGGCGGTAATATGGACACACCTTCCCAAGTGTCACAAAGTCGGCAAGACTCTCAAAGTAGCGTGCAACCACTTTCATGTCGTTCATGTTCAGGTACGTCTTGTGTGTTGTCTGCATCTTTCTTCAATTCGTATTTATTCTTTTTTTATATTTTTAATAATTTCAGTTCATTTTCAATTGTTTTATTTTATTTATTAATACTTTGAATAGTATTATTTATAGTATTTGTTTAGTTGTTGTTATTAAATTATAACATGTACTATTGTTGCATCACATTTATATTACATTTGAATAACTTTGATTGTGAATTGTTGTTTATTTGTTTGTACACTCAACACCAACATTACAACACAGATGAATTAATAGCCGTGCATGTGCTTTTCACTCCAATACTCCCCCTCAGCACGCGATTTTGGTATCCACTTCTTTCTCTCTTCAGCATCAAGTCTCTCTTGCTCAAGCTCTGCTTCTGTCTTCTTTTTTGGTGCCTAAGTCGGCTTGTTTTTTGTCTGTGGCATTTGTGTTGTTTGCAGTTCTTGTGTGATTTGATGAATCATAAAACTACACACATCATTTCTTACTCTTTTTATGTTTTGATTATATATATTGATTATTAT